ATCCCTGGAGGTGTAGAACGTCAGGCTCAGGCTTTGAGCAACCTGATCTAGTGGAAGATGTCACTGCCTATGGCAGTGGGGTTGGACTAGATGATCTTTAAAGGCCTTTCCAACTGAACCCATTCTGTCATTATATGATTCTATGTTGAAATTCAGGAAAATAATGACTAGTTACAGCTAAATTCAAGATGCTTTCCACAAAACTTACTGTGGTCAGGTCTACTAGCAGTAGAGAACTTTCTTGAGTAGTAAGATACTTAACTTCAGGGGTGCACAGGAACAGAAAAGTAAGAGTTTGCATCAATGTAGAGGTGTCCTTTGCATCATAATCATGCCATATCATGTTTCCACTCTCCCAATGGACTACCAAGAATGGGAAAAAACCACAGATTACTGGGGTTTGAATTCCAGATTTATACTTTTCCTCTGCATGTGTCCAATCTCTGCAAAGTATCTGTGTTCATCAAAGCCTTTACTATATAACCATGTAATTCACCTAGCATTTACATTTAAGGTGAAAGATACTGAAAAGGAATAAAACTACATGACTGGCAAATGCTGTGTGTCTCTCCAGCCCGGATAAGCAAGAAGAGTCAGAGCCAAAGCTGATCATGGGTCTCTCAACACTTGAACGTGGGTTACATTCATAAAATGAAGAATCACTAAAGCTATCACAAGTGAAATAACACTTAAAAAGTAGCGATTCTTAACTCTGTTCTTTCTCAACAGGAATCCTTAACGGATTCAGCCAAAACCACAGCACATCTCCACCAACTTCACACACTAGTTGCTTGATACCCACCCGTAAGAAACATAGCTCCCCTCAAAACGGTCGGAATTAAGTGGCAGTTTAAGACCTGCAGTAACACTTTTGGTCAGGAGATGTCCCTGCACCTACGCCTGAAGGGGCTGCTGTCCTGTGCCCTTGCTCGACACTTTCCGGCAGCATCAAACTGAGGTATTTATTAATAGAGGCTTATTTCCTAGGCTTTACTCTTGTATTTGAGCTGCAGGTGTGATGCGTGCCATCCAATACACTCAAACATCTAACTTTGTCCAATATTTGGTAAAAGGATAAAACATTCAACTCTACAATGACTTATCTGAGTCCAGTTGGAGGCCTGTAACTAGCGGTGTACTGGGTCTTGATCAATATATTCATCAGTGACCTGGATGAGGGTACAGAGTGTCCCCTCAGCAAGTTTGCTGATGCTACAGAACTGGGAGGAGTAACTGACACATCAGAAGGCTGTGCTGCCACTCAGCGAGGCCTGGACAGGCTGGAGAGTTGGGCAGTGAGGAACCCGAAGAAATTCAGCAAGGGAAAGTGTAGGGTGCTGCACTTATGAACAAATAACCCCATACATCAGTACAAGTTAGGGGCTGACCTGCTGGAGAGCAGCTCTCTAGAGAGAAACATTGGAGTCCTGGTGGACAACAGGTTGACCATGAGGTAGCAATGTGCCCCTGTGGCCAAGAAGGCCAATGGTCTCCTGAGGTGCCTGAAAAAGAGCATGGCCAGCAGTTCAAGGGAGATCATCCTCCCCTTCTACTCTGCCGTGGTGAGGCCACATCTGGAGTACTGTGTCCAGTTCTGGACCCCCCAGCTCAAGAAAAACAGGGAACTGCTGGAAAGAGTCCAGCAGAGGGCTACAAAGATGATCAAGGGAATGGAGCACCTCTCTTAAGAGGAAAGGCTGAGAAACCTGGGTCCATTTAGCCTGGAGAAAGGAAGACTGGGGGGGGACCTCCTCAATGTTTATAATTATCTAAAGGGCAAATGTCAAGAGGATGGGGTCAGAACCTTCTCAGTGGTGCCTGGTGACAGGACAAGGGGCAATGGCCGCAGCTGGAACACAGGAAATTCCACCTCAACATAAGGAAAAACTACTTTGAGGGTGGCAGAGCACTGGAACAGGCTGCCCAGAGAGGTGGTAGAGTCCCCTTTTCCAGAGGCAATCAAAACCTGCCTGGATGCACTCCTGTCCAACCTGCCCTAGATGAACCTGCTTTGGCAGGGGTGTTGGAGTAGATGATCTCCAAAGGTCCCTTCTAACCCCTACCATTCTGTGATTCTTTGATTCTGCAATCTTGTGGATTATTTCATTTATCTCCTCTGCCTCCAAATGCACTGCATGTAAACAAGAAGATCAATGCTATCTGGTTATGTTGCAGGGAAAAAAAATAAATTAATCTTATAAGGATTATTTTTTTTAATCCACCTCAATTTAACCACTGATAATATACATCCTTGTTCACTTTTCAATCAACTATTTAGAGCAGATAAAATTGGATCATCTTTATCTGCTGACCAAAACTCTTCTTACATGGCCTCTATGAAGCTCACAGGATGACAATGTTAAGATCCTTCTCTTGTCTACATAACAGCAGTTTTGGAAATCGCATGGCCTCTTAGCACTGCTCCATCCATGCATGGCTGTTGCGAATTCAACAATTCAATAGATTAATGCAGTAGATTACCTGTCATTAGCAGGTAAATCCTTTGGCAAAGAAGGACCTGATAATAATATGAAGGGACATTGCTCTGTGTTTACATAAAAGAGAAAAAAATTATTTTCGATAAGTTGATGCTGAGAAAAGGCTGAAAGAGCTGGGACTCCTTAGCCTGGAAAAGAGAAGGCTGAGGTAAGACCTAATTAATGTTTATAAGTATCTAAAGGGTGGGCTGAAGGACTATGGAGCCGGACTCTTTTCAGCGGTTTCCAGCGATAGGACGAGGGGCAACGGGCACAAACTGGAACACAGGAAGTTCCATTCAAATATGAGGAAAAACTTATTTATGGTGTGGGTGACAGAGCCCTGGAACAGGCTGCCCAGGGAAGTTGTGGAGTCCCCTTCTCTGGAGATCTTCAAGACCCGCCTGGATGCAGTCCTGAGTAACGTGCTCTGGGCAATCCTGCTTTAGCAGGGGATTTGGACCAGATGATCTCTAGAGGTCCCTTCCAACTCTGACAATTCTGTGATTCTGTGATACAAGTGAAGAATCTACTTCCAGTTGTGTTAAGAAAAGAACCATGATCAAAGCAACTAAGCAGGAAGCTGGTCTTTATGAAGAAACAATAGAGCAAAATTTTGCAGTTTTCAAAAAGCAAATTTTAAAGTTTGCATTATGACCCAAAGATAATTTCAAATCAGATTTGAATGTAAATCCAATCCTTCTTCTTCTAAATGCTGAACATATTTTCAGATCTTGAAATATTTTATAGAATTTATAGAATCATAGAATATCTCAAGTTGGAAGACATCCATAGGGATCACAGAGTCCAAATCCCTGCTCCTTGCAGGACTACCTAAAGCTAAACCAAGACTAAAAACATCGTCCAGATGCTCCCTGAACTCTGACAGCCTCTAAATGAAATACCTTTTCCTATTGTCCAATCTGAACTTCCCCTGATGCAGCTTCATTCCATTTCCTTGTGTTCTGATACCAGAGAGAGGAATTCGGCAGCTCCTGTTCTGCCACCCACCTTGAGGAAGTTGTAGACTGCAATGAGGTCACCCTTCACTTTGGTTTGACACCACAATCTAAATCAAGGAAATACACATTCTGTTTACAGCTCTCTGAATACCGTTCTTCCAAAGACCGGCAATGGGAATGTATGCTTTAGTTGTATCCTCAGTGAAGGGTAAGTCAAGAGGAAGGGAGAACACGGGTACCCCACTGGTAGGAGTTACCTTTAGGACACGGCTTCACAGTACGAAAAGATCACCACGAATACTAGGTTGACTTGTCCATGCTGCTTCTTCACTTTAGAGCCAATCAGTTCCACAACTAAGTTTGTAACATGGATGCAGAAATAGCTGTACCGGAAAGCCTAGGAGGGCAAGAGGCCATGGCAGCGGGGCAGGAATATCTTCAGCAAGCCTAGCCATCCAGTGCTTCAAATTGTGAAACATAGCCTGCAGTTATGTCTGCGCAGGCACCCTGAACTTCAGGGAGGGTACTTGCAGGCAAGTGCAAAGTAGCCTTTCAATCACTTTGATCTCAGTTCTCCAGACTCAGGTGTTGTTCCACAGCAGTTTGTACCACTAAGTCACATCCTCTCTCCAGCCCCCTCAACACATCTCTGACGCCTTTCTTGTACCAGCAGTACTTGGGGAGCTTGTTCAGGGAGCTAATTCAGAGGAAAACTAACTCTCCAAAAAAGGCAGTCTCCAGCATCAGCAGCTCCCAGAACCAGTTCCCTGTGCTGCTGGTAGTGCAGACACAATGAAGGATCTGTGGCAGCCAGACTCAAATCAGCTGAAGAAGGTTGTTCTACGGCAGCCATGAGCCCATGTGAAAAACCTGGTTCAATAAAGATTCCAGATGCCAGGAGTAATTTGTATATAGTAACCTCTGTCTAAATATACTGCCAGCTGCACCTAGTATTATTGTTTAGACATGGTTGGCACGAGTATACAAGTAGTTTGATTTGTGACTGTCAACTATATGAAGACTGTACCTCAGATTCCTATATTTTTGGTATCTTCTTATATCCTTAGTAAGAATCATTGTTTTCTAGGAACTTCCGAAGCTATTCAGTTTAGACCCTTTTAGAAGGCATGTTTCATAAGATTGCAGAATGAAGGAAAACCAAGTTACTTTAGTGCTTCAGACAGGGAATTACATGGATTATACAGGATAACCCACTTACATTTGGGGGACATTTACATTTAGGCTTTGAGTAGATGCCTTATCGGGAGTGTATCCTAGTTCAAGAAAAAATGTGGTCCATACTCTCTTGTAAAGATACGCATTTTCATACATCTTTCTGACTTTTTACTGACCAAGATGTAATTCCTTTGTGCTTCCCTAGAGCTTGTCACAGTAAGTAACAAATAGGTGGGGCAATATTAAACGTGTTCCTCTGAGAATCACACAAAAAGGATCAGTATACATGCAAGGATGCATGTGACTGTAATTTAACCAATAAGCACGAGTATACAACTTTTCTTTTTCTATAATAATATCAAAAATTTATACAGAATTCCTCCCTTACATGTTAAAGATTTTAACATTTTGACAGACTACAACATAAAACTTACACAAAATTCTCAAATATTCATTTCATGTCCTTTAGAACAGGCATAATTACTAATTATTTCCAAAGGGCAAAGGATCAGGAAGGCTGGATATTCTTCCACAAGGAGATCTTCATGGCACGGGAGCAGGCTATGGCCATGTGCCCAAAGACAAGGTGGCAGGGAAGAAGACCGGCCTGGCTGACCAGAGAGCTTTGGCTGGCAGTCAGGGGAGGGGACAAAAGGAGAGCTTCCGGGCTTTGAAGGACTCCTGAGGTTACGCAGAGAGAAAATGAGAAGCGCCAAAGCCCAGACAGAACTTCATCTGGCTACTGCTGTAAAAAGCACCAGAAAATGTCTGTCTAGATAGAGTAGCAACAAAAGGAGGGCAAAGGAGAATCTCCATCCTTTCCTGGAGGCATGTCCCAGACGTGGCCGCACCATGTGGGTCCCCACTAGACCCAGTCCCCAGATCCAACGTGTTCCCTGAAGGGAATGGGCCAGAGCCTGGCCATCAGGAGCCCCAGATGCTGACAGGCTCCGACGACTCCTTACAGGGGCCAGAGGCGACCCTGGTGCCAAAGGATTTTGCCAAGGACCTGAGGCAGGGAAAGGCTTCAGGAGCGTCGTCTCCTTTTGCCGGGTCAGGAAAGATGCCCTTGGTGGATGAAAGCGCAAAGCCTGAGGAAGGCCTCTGCCTGCGAAAGGCAGGAGCTGGCAGCTCGGAGAGGGCCTCTGAGACCACCTTGCTCTGCACCAGACCAACAGCCGCATCCCTCTGGCCTGAGTCTCCTTTTTACACGGGAAATTTTATTGAAGAAAACAGGTCTAATGACGCCCACCATCTTCCCACCATCTTCCCCATCGCCAGCACCCGATCTATCAGCCTCTGTGCTGGGGTTCCCGAGCTGCTCCAATTGCCAGGATTTGTGAGCTGAAAGGCGCCGGGGATCCCATTCTGCAAAGAAACCATGGCAAAAATCAGCGTCACTGCGGGGTGTGCAGAGCCAGAGCGGGCTCTGTGTGTCAGGCCCCTCTCCCAGCAGGGACCCTCCGCATCTCTTCCCCAAGCGGCTTGCTGGCCAGCGGCCGGTTCTGCCCTGGCCTCTTGCCCACACACACGCACTGTACCTGCAGAGGCAAGCTCTGGTGGGGCTTCTCCTGCCTGCTGCAGCTCCACGTCCCCAGCAGAGTTGCCTCCTCGCCTTCCTCATCCAGGCCCTTGGAGACAAAGCACAGGGGAGGAGGTCGGGCTCGACCTGACCACGAGGAAACCTTCCTGCCTGCCCTGGGCCCATCATCTGCACCCACCTCCTGCGGCTCCAGCACTGCCTGGGAGCACACGCATCTCGGCAGCCGCGCAGAGAGCAGCAAGTCCCCTTTACAGCTTTTCCCCACCACCAGCTCCCAGCCCCCGGCACAGACTTACACAGACAGCAACATCTCGGCGGGCGCTGATGGCAGTCCCCAGCGGAGAGGCTCTCTCGGAGCTCTGCTGCACACTGACGGCCTGCAGAGGTATTTGTGCCGGTAACCAGCTCAGCACCTCGCTCCCAGACTCTTGGAAGGGCCAGCAGCAGGTCGGGAAATCGTCCGGCTGGAAGCAGAAGACAAGAGCACGGAAGGTGAGGGCATGATGGGGCCCCTGTGCTCCAATGGAGCCACGAGCACAGGCGGCACCGCGCCGCTGGGCTGTGCTTGTGCTGGAAACGAGTGGCGTGTTGGGAAGCCGACAGAAGCGCCCGGCCATCTTCCCGAGCCGGGAAGGAGGGAAACATCCCATACCCTGCACCGCAGCCAGGGCTTTCAAGAAAGCTCTCCTTTTGGCCAGCAGCTCTGCACGCTGTCCCCACCCTCCACTGCCCCATCTGGGGAGCAGGAAAAGCCCAACCACTGCTCCAAGAAGGGCCTTGGGCACTGCCCAGCTGGTCCCAGCCCTCCTTCCCTACCTGCAGCATCGCTTTCTTCATGGTGTCCATCTCATCAGCCAGGCACACGACCTCGTTCCTCAGACAGGGAGATTGTTCCACGCGGCCACCAGAAAAGCCAATCTGAAAGAGAAAAGCTCTCCGTTGGAGTCCCAGAGCTGCCGGGCCTTTCCAGAGCTGGTGGCTCCAGGAAGGGCTGGCAGAAGCTGCTGCCCGTTCTCCGCGTCACTGCCTGGAAGCCCAGGACGGGGCCATGTACCCACCCACCAGCAGCGGGGCTCCCCTCTGGGCCTTTCCTGTCCCACAACAGCAGTCACTCACCTGCAGCACATCCTCTGCCCGCTGCCTCCACGTCAGCTGCACGATTCCCCAGCAGGCAGCAGCTGCAATGCACATCCCCAAGAGAGAGTTACTTTAGGAGGGTTTCTAAGGATCCCTGCCGTCCCGCCATTCTTCTCCCCCAGCGTGGTGCTGGCAAGAGGCTGGCTGAGGACATGGGCAAAGGGGGCAGAGAGAGGTTGTGGCTCCAAGCAGGGACCCTCTCCCTGGGCCTCGGGGCAGAGGGGGACAGCCCTGGTTCCCGGGCACGCTTGGTGCCCCACAGCTACAGCCCCATTCCCCTCCCTGCTCCGCCTGCAGGGAGCACCTAGGGAGCTCCTGGAGCTGCAGAGGCGGGAGGCTGGAAAGGCCCCGCTCGCTCCTCTCCCTCGCCCTGAAGCTCACACTCCCCGCCTCCGTGCTCTGCTGGCAGCAGACAGACTCACCGAGAGCAGCCAGGCTCATCACCAAGAGGATCGCCACGAGCCTCTTCCTGTTCACAGCGACAGTCTCTCTCCTGACAAAGAGGGGGTTCTGGGCTTAGCAGTGGCCAAGGGCAGAGCCCTGCCTGCCCAGGGGCACTTTCTCTTCCAAGCTGAGGAGCGGGGATTTTGGAGGAGCCAGGGTCTCCTGGTGGGAAGCCTGACCACCAGCCTGACCCTGCTCACCCCGACCCACTGGCACCCCTCGTCTCCGTGTCCCCCCTGCACCCTCTTGTACTCACAGGCTGGAGATGGCCGTGCTGAGGCATCTCTGGACAAACTCCACAGCCAGCAGCAGAGTGAAGAGCAAGCCTTCTCCTGTGTGAAGCAAGCGGAGATGAAGCTGAGGAGCCTTCTTGAGGCCACGGGTCCAGCGGGGAGGTGGGTGCTGGGCCTCCCTCCCTGGGGGCAGGGCCGTGGGGATGCCCTGGAGAGGGGGGCAGCTGGGGGCACCCTGGCAGTGGGGTACCAAGGGCCGGGCAGGATCCCCCGGCAGGCAGGGCACCCATGGCGTGCCAGGGCAGGGAGGGTGGCCCCAGTCCTGGGGGACCCCGGCCTTCCGCCAGGATCCCACCAAGGCACGCACAGGGGAGCCAGCGCCACACGCTCTGCCAGGCCAGGTGGCCCCAGGCCTCCCTTGGGGCAGGATGGCGCTGGTTGTGCAGGGCCGTGGCTCCCGGCCCAGCCAGGCAGCCTTGGTGACAGCATGGCCGGAAAAAAGGCAGCCCTCAACTTACCCTTCTTGGCTGCAGCCCTGCAGCGTGTGAGCCTTGGCCGCCTGGTGCCCCGACCCTGCCCAGATCGCGCCCAGGGGCCTCTGGCCCATCTGCTGGGGGCTCTTGCAGGAGCCCTTATCCTCCCCATCCTGGGGAGCAAGGAAGCTCTCCTGAAAGAGAAGCTCTCTCGGTGCCCTCCTGCAGCCACTCGAGCGTCGCCTGCTCTCTGCGGGCAGAGCCCTCCTGGAGACAGCCCCGAGGAGAACGCCTGCCCCAGGCACACAGCCAGCAGCACACTGCGAGCCCACACCTTATGGCCCACAGGGCACGACCTCACAAAGGCCTGGCCCCGCACGCTCTGACCTCATGGCTCTGACGCCACAGAGAGAGCTGCAGCGGGGCCACATGCTGGCCAGAGACCCCGCTGACCACTTGGCCCTCTGCTTTGCATTCCTCACGGGACTTGGAGATTCATAGAACCATAGAATCGGCTCGTTTGGACGGCAGCTTTAGGATCACCTAGTCCAACCATCAACCCAACTCTGAGAAAAAAAACCTGTCCTTAAACCATGTCCCTAAGCACCTTGTCAGCCCTTCTTTTGAACGCCTCCAGAGATGGTGCCTCAACCACTTCCCTGGGCAGCCCTTGCCAGTGCTTCATAAGCCTTGCAGTGTGAAAACGGTTCCTAATGTCCAATCTGAACCTCCCCTGGCACAACTTGAGGCCGTTTCCTCTTGTCCTATTGCCGCTGACTTGGGAGAAGAGAGCGACCCCTGCCTCTCCACACCCTCCTTTCAGGGAGCTGTAGAGAGCGGGATGGTCTCCCCTTCTCTGGACCCACTCCAGCACCTCAATGTCTTTCTTGTCACGAGGGACCCAAAACTGGACACAGCACTCAAGATGGTGCCAGTGCCAAGTACCGGGGGACCATCACCTCCTGAGTCCTACTCACCACGCTCTTCCTGAAACAGGCCAGGATGCTGTTGGCCTTCTTGGCCACCTGGGCACACCACGGGCTCATGGTCAGTGGGCTGTCAACCAACACTCCCAGGGTCTACCCTCCAGCAGTTTAACACTGCCACCCAGCTTGCTGTTGTCTGCAAACTTACTGAGAGTGCACTCGATCCCCTCGTCCAGATCATTGATAAAGATGTTAAAGAGAACCGGCCCCAGTACCCAGCCCTGGGGAAAAATAACATCAGAAAGACAAGAGTATTTATTTGCTATACAACTGAGAAGAAAATGGCTGTCACCTTGTACATGAACTTGTAACTTTCTCCTGTGCTCCCCTTCAGGTGCTCAGCCCATATTGCCATGAAACCACCTCTGCAAGCTTGAGGCCAGCAGTGAAATCCCTTCTGGCAATACTGTTTCTTTGTTGCAACAACACACTGTAACTCTGTAATGTATCTAACTATAAGCATTTAATACCAACCAACCAACCAACCAACCAAAAAAGCTAAGGAAATTTAATTTAAAACTCTGAATCACGCTGTTGCATTCTGTAACGGGTGTGCCCCAGGTTTGTAGCTACCTCTGCTGTCCAGAACCTATTCGTGCCATCAGAAATAGACTGACTGACGATGAAGAATTCTAATACAGTACTGAGAAAAATACTTGGAGAGTATCTTCAGAGAGAGTTTGAATAATTGATTTTTATTATTAAACTCTGGCATTGATTTCAGTGTGCTACATGTGAGGTCATAGTTTGTGCTGGTTTTTATGTAAAAAAAGAAGAGTCTGAATGCATGGATAGAGTGTGCAGTTGTGATAAAGGGGCTCTTCCCTTCCCACCCAGTATTGGCTACAGGAAGCAAAAGTATTTTATACATTGTATAAGCTTTGTTATGCAAGAAGTTTTATATTGTTTTAAATAATTTCCACTATATTTTAACAAGAAATTTTGCAACTTAGTGACAGCTGTTTTATTTTCTTCCACCCATCTTCATTTTAAACAAATAGAAAGCCTTTTGTATTATAATCATTAGTTTCTTAGCAGCATGCAACAGCTTTTTTCGTAAGCATTGCTGTTGGCTTATACTTTCCATTATTGTCATAGAGATTTAAGAATTGCATGGATAACATTGTTTTCAATTTATTAACCTAATTTACTGTTGCTGTTTAGAGAGTTTTTACCGGGTTGTTTAGGAGAAAAATTTTAGTTGAACTATACTGTCATCTTGTGGCGACCAGTGTTTCTGGTTCAAATTCACACATGGAAGTTTTCTTTTCAAACAGAAGAATCTGAGTACTATACAACTAAAGTTTCTTGTGGCTGCTTGGTAAAAGATATTTGGTGTAGTTTCTTTCCCACTAATTCCAACCGAGGTGTCTACCTCTGCAAACCAAGATGATATCAGATGACACAAAGGTATCCAAACTGATCCTCATGATAGGGTTGCCCTTTAACTCCTCAGTTCTCTTGCGGCATTCCTGAGATGTTGTTACCTAGGTCAAAGTGATCAATATCCAAGAGGATACTGAAAGGCATTCCTTTGCCCTAAAAGAAAGACTTCAGCTTGTCTGCACATCTGAAAACAATTGGTATTAAGCGCCAGTTAGCTTCTATTCTTTCCTATCCTTGAAGTCACCCAAACTTTTGCAAATGGCACCACACATGTGCACAAGTGATGCCATATGATGACATTACACAGAAATCGCTTGAATATCAGTCTTGCATTTGCCACACACAAGTTGTTCCAGCAGTGTTCAAGTTTTGTAGAAGCAGTACAAGTACTCTTTATTTTTTTGAGCAAATCCCACCATGGTCACATCAGGGACTGTATGGCTGCACTGCACCCTGGTGACAGTGTGACGTGGCAGCATGACACCAAACTTGTGCAAAATAAATGCCACTGAGGTTATTTGGTGCTCATACCCACCTTATTCTCTACTGCCTAGTCAGCCCTTATTTTATTCTCCCTCTCCCTCAGCTGGACTTACTTGTAAGGCTGTTACAATCCATCTGTGGAAAGGACTGGGCTCTCGTCTTCCCCAGCAAAGTGCCAGAGGAGAGCAAGGAGGTCAGGAAGGTCTGTGGGCCTTTGGTGGGATCAGCTGGAGGAAGAGGGGCTTGTACCTCAGAAGCATGGAAGAAAAAATGGATGGGCATATCCAGTGTTGCATTTTGCTTCTGTTTTTCAATCCCCAATCAGACTGGACAGGCTGCAGAACATGGTGCTAAAAAGGCACCTGCCTCCATGGTATTCAGTAAACCCTGATCTAGATGCTTAACAGGATCCCTGATTGCTGGGGCGACAGAGTTTCTCCCATCATTGGACCTGGCTGGACCAAAAGTACCGTGCGGAAGTGGCAGTGGGCCACCGACTGCAGTGACAGACTGCTGTTCCCTACTGAAAAAAGGCAGCCTTGAAACGCAGACACGCCACCTTCTCAGTTTCATACTACTTCCTATGCATAAAAGAAGGGTGACTTAGCCAGCGCTGAATTTAGGCTGGCGCCATTCAGCAGCTGCCAGCACACGAGTCTGTGGGTTTTGAGCAAGCTGGAGTTCGCTATGGATGGTGGACTCTGTCCTCATTTGCAACCTGCACGGGGGCTAAGAACTTCTGGGATGGTACTGGGTCAGCCACAGCTCTGCCTGTTCTCTACCCTAAAAGTACCCAATGTTCCCAAGAACTAAAGATAACTGCATGACGATACCAAAAACCTTTCTTCCCTAACAGGTTTGAAGACATGTAAATGAACAAGATTATTTTTATCCCATAAAGGATGAGAATAATTCCTCTGGCAGCAAACCCTCACAGGCAGCCAAACCAATATACTTCCTTTGGAGGCTGTTGCCATGGCATCTGTCCAATGTCTTCACAGCATCTTCCAGATTTCTGAGATCTAACGAGAAAGGAAAAGGAAAGGAGGCACTAGTTAAAAGACAGACAGCAAGGTTGCTGGGAGAAATGTGACTCCACTCCAGCCTGCAGGATGTATTCATACTGTTTCAGTTAACTGGGATTTTTTTTTTTCTGTATGGCATTTCATCTACAGGACACTGAATTTTCTCTTTTGATTTTTGGTAAGGAAGACAGAATTGCTATAAAAATATTTTCTTTAGGTCAGTCAGGGCAAAATTCATTTTACCTAACTTCAGCCATCTATGTGCCTAGCCTAAGGGGGCTGTCTAGGCTCCTGTTAGAATTAATGGAAGGAGAAGGGTTTCTCCCAAGGACAATTTTTCCAGCTTACTTTAGACACCTAATTTAAGATGGGATGATTTACTCATTGGAACCATTTATCTCTCTCCTTTAACTACAGCAGGAGCATGGATGGACTAAATGCCTGGATTTTCAGGTGAGGTAAAATGAATACGAGCAAAGACCTGTGTCTTAGGTGTTAATTCTGGTGATAGAAATTGCCAATCAAAATGAAAGAGGTGAGTGAACAGCCTGGGCCACACCTTTGTGTGTCTGGAAACAATACCAGAACTTAACTTGGCCAGCAGAACTTGACTTGGCCACCACAGTTAAAGATAACAAGAAGAGTTTTTTTCAGTATATCAATAAAAAAAGGCAGGCTAGGGAAAATGTAGGCCCACTGATGGTAGGCCCACTGAGGTGGGTGCCTTGGTGCTGGAAGACACAGAGAACACAGAGCTGCTGAACGTCTTCTTCGCTTCGGTCTTCACTGCCAAGGCCACCCCTCATGAATCCCAGACCCTGGAGACAAGGGAGAGGGTCTGGAGAGAGGAAGACTTTCCCTCTGTTGGGGAGGATTGGGTTAGAGACCACTTGGCCAAACTAGACATCCATAAGTCTATGGGCCCTGATGGGATGCACCCACGAGTGCTGAGAGCGCTGGCAGATGTTATTGCTGAACGACTTTCCATTATTTATGAAAGGTCATAGAGAACAGAAGTGCCTGAGGACTGGAGGAAGGCAAATATCACTCCAGTCTACAAAAAGGGCAAGAAGGAGGACCCAGGGAACTACAGGCAATTAGTCTCACCCCTGTCCCTGGGAAAATAATGGAATTACTTGTTCTGGATGTCATCTCCAAACATATTGAAGACAAAGAAGTTATTGGAAGTGGTCAGCACGTATTTACCAAGGGTAAATCATGCTTGACCAATCTGATAGCCTTCTATGATGTTATAACTAGATGGCTGGATGAGGGGAGAGCAGCAGATGTCATCTACCTTGACTTCAGCAAGGCCTTTGACACTGTCTCCCACAACATCCTCATTAGAAAATTAAAGAAGTGTGGGCTAGATGAGGGGGCAGTGAGACGGACTGAGTCCTGGCTGTGTGACAGAACTCAGAGGGTTGTCATTAGTGGAGCAGGGTCAAGTTGGAGGCCTGTAACCAGCGGTGTCCCCCAGGGGTCAATACTTGGCCCAGTCCTGTTCAACATATTCATCAATAACCTGGACGAGGGGACAGAGTGTATCCTCAGCAAGTTCCCTGATGATACCAAACTGGGAGGGCTGGCCGACACTCCAGAGGGCTGTGCTGCCATCCAGCGTGACCTGGACAGGCTGGAGAGCTGGGCAGAGAAGAACATAATGAGGTTCAACAGGGGCAAATGTAAGGTCCTTCACCTGGGGAGGAAGAACCCCAGGCACCAATATAGATTTGGGGTGGATCTTCTGGGAAGTACTACAGAGGAAAAGGATCTGGGAGTCCTGGTGGATGGCAGGCTCTCCATGAGCCAGCCATGTGCCCTTGTTGCCAAGAGGGCCAATGGAATCCTGGGCTGCATAAGGAGAAGTGTGGCCAGCAGGTCAAGGGAGGTCATTCTCCCCCTCTACTCTGCACTGGTGAGACCACAACTGGAATACTGTGTCCAGTTCTGGGCTCCCCAGTTCAAGGGGGACAGGGAACTACTGGAAAAAGTCCAGCGCAGGGCAAGCAAGATGATTAAGGGATTAAAGCACCTCCCTTACGAGAAAAGGCTCAAAGAGCTGGGGCTCTTTAGCCTGGAGAAGAGAAGGCTGAGGGGAGACCTCATCTATGTTTACAAGTTCCTAAAGGGTGGGTTGAAGGATGATGAAGCCAGACTCTTTTCAGTGGTTTCCAGTGAGAGGACGAGGGGCAACGGGCACAAGTTGGAACATAGGAAGTTCCACTCAAAAATGAGGAAAAACTTCTTCACAGTAAGGCTGACAGAGCCCTGGAACAGGCTGCCCAGGGAGGTTGTGGAGTCCCCTTCTCTGGAGATTTTCAAGACCTGCCTGGATGCAGTCCTGAGTGACGTGCTCTGGGCAATCCTGCTTTAGCAGGGGAGTTGGACTAGATAATCTTTAGAGGTCCCTTCCAACTCTGTTGAGTCTGTGAATACAGCTAAAGTTAAAATGGCTTTTCACACCATCCCTCAACCTTAGCAGAGGTCAAAAGCCCCCCAGCATGCTAATTAGCACCAAAGGAATTCAGCAAGAGGCCATGCTCATTAAACAAGTGAGGATAAATTAACAGTGAGACACCTATACAAGGCTGGTTTGTCCCAGGGTGCAAATGCAGCAGTTGGACACAGCTTCTCTGCTTTGGGGATTGTGCCAGGGGATGATGCCTGTTTCTGAGCAACAAGCTCCTTGTCACAGGGGTTCAACAGTCCACACGTGTATCGGAGGGGGAGTAGCGTGGGGAGGGGGTTTCCTCATAGTTTGCTGGCTTGTGGCAGGCCCAAACCGCTTGTGTTTTGGAATAACTGCACTTTTAGTCAGCAAACCAGAAGCAGGAGTGAGATCCAGCCGGCCAAATAAACACATACTTTTATCAAGATCTGTTAGACAAGGTTATATAATGCTACAATCAGGGCTAAAGAGGCTTTATCATCAATTTCTGACCTTGTTTGAGATGACGTCAAACTGGTGTTGAAGATTTGAACTGGTGAAAAGATAAAGACAAATTTCTTCAATTTGTCTCTTCACGTAACTTCCCCTGAATGTGATAAAATTGGGTACAGTGTGACTCTACGGAAGATGGCTGGCAGGCTGGCACACGAGAATTTCAATGATGCATCTGAATAAAACCCGATTTTGGGTTAATGATGTCCACCGCGATGCTTTCAACGCCACGTGGCATGGGGGGGGGGGGCCGCCATGGCCAGGCAGAGAGTGCAGGGAGGGCAGCCCGTTTGTTAAGGCCGCTCACCTTGGAAGTATGCATTGCAGCCAACAGGACCCTGCCCCTGAATTTCCCTCAGGGAAATGGCTCCCACCGAAGGCGTAAACAGGGCCAGGAAATGTCCCCGCCGGCTGAGGGGGAGCTGCCGGCTCCTCTGAAGAGCGGCACGGCGCAGCAGTTAAGCCCGGCCGGCCACTTGGCAGGCGGAGACATGCTGACCCACAGCCGCACCCCACCCACCGCCTCTGGGCTGCCGCCACCGGCGACAACCCACCTTTCAGACCCCCCCCGAGGGTCTCACCAGGGTCTCACCGGGGGGAGCGGTCTGTCCCAGGGCCCGCCGAGAAGCGGCCGCCCAACGGCGGGACTCCCGGCCAAGGACAGGCCCGGCCCGGGGCGGGGCCGGAAGCGGCGGTGGCGCCCCCGGAAGCACTCTCCCGAGCATAGCGGAAGTGGGGCGGAGCTCGGTCTCTTTGGTGCTGGCGGCCGGGCAAGATGGTGAGCGTTTGGGCGCGGGCGCGGGGGATCCGCCGCCATCCGCCGCCGCG